GGTCAAAGGTGTCCCTCTTTACCAATCTGAAAATCTAGTCACCTTAGCCATGCAACCAAACTAAAAGAGTTTAAAAACTCAGATAATTTTTAAAAATTCAGTTAAACACAAAATATAATCTGAATCAACAGATAAATAGAATCAGTACTTTCAATTCAGTATAAGCATTGGAAGCCTATCACTACTGTTTCCCAAGCTCAGTGACAGAGCAACCTCTTCAGGTACTTCCTAAAGAGCAGATACCACAGCAAAAAAGGCTCTGTTCCTGGATTCTTTCACATGACATGACATAGATGATAGCTAGATAGCTAAATGGATGGATGGATGGATGGATGGATGGACGGACAGTATATTTATGGATAATGTAGAGTCAACCCTACATCCAATCCCTGATCCTCAAATCTACTGAAGAACAGAAATGGCTTTGAATATCTCTTTGGAGTATTAATATTCAGATTCTAGACAATTTCAAGATAACAGGCAGATATTATGGAAGCTGCAGGCTCTGGCTAATTTTGTAATTAGCCTTGGCCTCGGGATTATCAATCTTATTTTAGGATCATATTCATCATCCTCTTGTTGGAATACCTACCAATCATGTTATAACAATTCCAAGTTGCAAAGTTTGATAGTTGTTGGCAAGCCTAGTGCCGGACATCTGACACGGAACAGCAATGTTAAAAAGATTCAGTGGAGATTCATTTGATATAATAGCAAATGAGATTTGGATTGAACTGTACCTGTAGCTGTAGAAATTGAGTAGGCAATTTGGGTCAGTCGTATTATTTCTCTACCTCATCAGTTGATGGGAGGATAAAATAAAGGAAAATCTTACTGACACTTGACTTGCATCCTAAATCAAATTTACAGTATAAATCATCATCTTCTTCATCATCATCTTAGGACTTGCAAGAATAATAGTTTGAGCAGGAACAATCTGAGGACTAAAGTGGGGGCAGTCCTGAGCTGCAAAATTATATACAAATAACATTTCCTGATTTTGCCTGTCATTGAATCCATGTTATCGGTAGTACCAAGGTTTGGGAATATGCTCTTTAGCAGTCACAGGGCTTTCTTTTGATAGCAGGTCAATATTGTTCTACTATTACAGCTATTTTAATTTAAAATGTTTTTAAATCAGCTTAGAATCTTGTTCCTTTTCCTCCTGCTGTTTTTATTTTTCTCAATATTTATTAAATCTGGGTTTACTATGTATAGTTGTGTGTTCCATAAATGTGTATACTACATCTAAGGTTTGTAGAAAAACCTCTGGGAGACATACCTAAAAATACTAGAAATCACACAATATCAGTGAGGAAAACTATAAAAGTAAACATCATCACAATGCAATACAGACATTAAAAAGCTATTAAGTATATAAAAATAATTAGAAAAGAGTGGATTTCCACATTCCAAATGTGGTTTGCTTCATGATAGAATTTGGTTCCCAATTTGATGTAGAAATGAAAGGGATCATGTAATAGATGACTGACTCAAAAATCTTTTTTCAATTTTTTTCATTTTGTCGCTCGTCTTAAACTTGCATCTTTTGGACATTCATTTGGATTTCTCATTTAACTCAGTTGGATTTCTAGTTAGAATATTTTCCTTTTACCATTCCCTCTTTCTGTCCCCCTCATTCTTTATTTCTGTGTTATCCTTTATTCTCTAGTCATGTCAACCATTTATTCATCAGCTTGCGCTGAGGTTATGTTTGCCAAATAAAGTTTGTGTTGTATATTTGACAATGTGATCTGCAATTTGTATTTCCTTGGCCATAAAACTTCCAAGATTTATTCCGATAAGCAAGAGCATGTTGCCTAGCAGAATTATTAATACCAAGTTGATGCTGCAATTTGTTTTTTATGAGTTCCCCTTGCCAATCCTTCTTTATTATTTCTCCATCTCCCCTGGTGATATAGAATGCTAAATAATTGCACTGGAAGTATTATAGGAATATCTGTCCAGCCTATCACGGTAAAAATCAGGTTAAACCAGTCAAACTCTGAATGCTCTCTATCTAACTCCTATAGGAATGCCTTCTTCCCTGACTTCCATCTGTTCTCTTTCTTCTAATTTCCCCCCATATTTAATATTTTCTAGGTAGCCATGACAAGCTGGGAATGTTTTGATCCATGAGCTCATTGCTATGACTTACTGAAGCAGTTTTTGTTTCCCAGGACACCGTTATGACCTGGGGACCCTGACAGTAGCCATACTTTAGCTTCTGATCCCAGATCTTTGTTAATACTGTCAGAACAGTCATTAAAATTGAAGTCATACAACTGTATTATAAAGGTTGTTAATATCCACATGCAAATTAAGCTTTTTTCACTCTTCCTTTTGCCTTGTCTATGTAGAAACTTCCATTTGCCTTATCTATGAGGAAACTTTGAGCTTTACCACAAAGGGATTAGGGAGTGAAAGGAAACGAGGAAGATGAAGAGAAGGGAGAGAAGTATGGCTGGAGTTGCCTTTAGGAGCAGCTGTTTTAGCACAGTAAGATGGTGTCTGTTTTTTAAACACTGATATGCCAATACGAATAAAGCTTAGCCAGGGATCCTGCCCATATCTGCTTTGCTTTTCATCTTTTTTTAAAACATCATTTGATTTTTCAAGAGATTATTTTTTTTGATGTAGAAAACGAGAGATAGAGATTCAGATTGCAATAATAATTCCTTACTAGTTAGAGCTGAACTTGCAAAAGCTTTCACAAAAATCAAGAAACAATCATTCCAATTCTGCTGAGAATTCAATGCTACCCTGCTTCTTTTCATAGCTTAAAAAATACTCTAATTTTTATGTCCCCTGTAAAGAATTCAGGAAGCACACACAAGTTTGGAATAAAATGTGGGAATGAGCATTAGGAAGTCTTAAGATTTCACATTGAGATAGGACACTGGAAAGTCCAGATGGAAACTAGAAACACATTGTTAGACTGCAAGAGGCTTCAATAGGGCTGCTTTACTTGATATTTATACTAGAAAAGAAAATTAATAAACATAGGAAGTTGTCAGGAATAGGACTCATCCACACAACTGGAAGGAGCTTACTCTCTATACTCCTAGAGTCCATGTATCAAGATAGAGAACAGGATTGTTTAGTCTCCTGGTTAGGTGGAAAGGAAAGCAAACATAACCAAGGCTAGCAATAGCACTTAGCAATAGCACTTAGACTTATATACTGCTTCACAGTGCTTTACAGCCCTCCCTAAGCGGTTTACAGAGTCTACATATTGCCCTCTACAGTCTGGCTCCTCATTTTACCCACCTCGCAAGGATGGAAGACTGAGTCAACCTTGAGCCTAGTGAGATCCGATCTGCCAAACTGCTGGCAGCTGGTGATTAGCAGAAGTAGCCTGCAGTACTGCATCCTAACCACTGAGCCAACACAGCTCTTGGGCAACATTTTGGATACTTTAGGCAACATTTCTTCCAGTGCTTTTGAAGAATAACTCCCACAATTTAAAGGGCTACATATAACCAAAATAATAATAATCACATTCTGAAATTTAGAAATAGGACTTGATATTGATAAGGGCCTGTTTCAAGATTCATCAACATTAGTTACACTCCTCACATAAAACAGAATTTGAACTTAATATGGATTATCTAGCCATAAATGAAAGTAGTTCAACTTTTATGTTTAAGATTTTGTTTAAAGTGAGCATGATTTTAAATTATAATTGAAGTCAGCCTTTTACTTGTTTGTCAACTATTTGTACAACCAAAGTTACTACCGGTAGCTTTGTTTGATTACAATGTAAGTATATATAGGTATATTGTTTATGTCATATGGCAATCTCCATGCTATAAGAACCACATCTTCAGTTCGTTTGAAAGTGTACTGTGGAAGTCTGGCAGTCACTGACTGTAGGATGACAAAAGAGAGCCCCTGAAAAATGTATTCAGATGGTAAAACAGCGAGTATCTGTAAAATATACAGTCAGCACAACACAGTGCAGTATTTCCAAAGTCAAGTTCTCCTTTGCATTAGTGAGCATTTGTTTTAAGCTGTAGCTTGGCTAATAAATGATTCATAATAACCACACCTTTGTACGCAGCCGTCCACTTGAAGTTCAGTCCATACCAATACATCAAGAAGCCTCATGCGTGAGCTCAACATTGCATTTCCCAGTAACTGTGACAGGAGTGAAAGGCATCTTGGTAACAAATGAGAAGGCTAAAGAAAAGGCTTCTCTCTTCTTAAAAGTGCAAATTAGTAAAGCTTTTTTCCCCCAGCCTGAGTTAGTTGCAAACTCCTGAGAATCAAGATTTTTGGAGGAAAGTCTGATCCTAGGAGAATTCTAAATTTTGGGAAA